TATATATATATATGGCGCTAGCTCCCTCGCTAGGATATAAAGTGATTTGCTGCATTAGTTTTTGAGTTAATGGCACTATACAATGTTAGCTGTCAATCTGAATGCACCAATAGTTTTTTGGAACCACGTCTTTTGGATGAATGTGATCACACCAGCCTTTAAACACTGTGTTGGAAGGTTGGTGATTTGGACGTGCACCTCGCAGTCATGAGTTCCTCTGTAGGCCAAAATATTTTCTCCCTACATCTAAAACTTGGACTAAACTGGGTCCTGATGCACAGGGATGAGGATCCCAAACACAGGAGCAAACCTAYGACAAAAAGCTGGCTGATCCTCTCATTAGACACTTCTGTCTGTAAATTAAATGTAAAAATAAAGACTTCCTGGTTGAGAAGCCTCTGCTACGCTCCAGAGGTCCGTCTCCTGGGAGCTTCCTCTGTCCTGTCTGTGGTCGACGCTTGCCGCCGTCTGCAGCCTGTTTTTGGACTAATTGAGGCCACTTTCACTGTGGTTGCACCTGTTTCTGAGACTGGGTCCTGTTTGTGTACTTGTCCCGCGACCGTTACTGCAAGCCTCATGCTTCGCTACACAACGAGCAGCAGCTGTGTCAGTCCGATCGTGTCGAATTACCGCGGATGGTTCAGAGGTTACGGAGGGTTTCTTTTCACTGGATTTACACCAGGCCTGCCTGACAGAGGGCATTTCTGAGGGCAAAGCTGACAATTTATGATGTCAGAGGTCACTTCCTCCTCTGTGTCCGGCGGTCCGAACCCAGCAGGTTATGGACATGTTCTGGTTACCCTTTTTTTTTGCAAAACAAAAGAGCATAATAATACAGTATAACCATTAAACCCTTTCTAAAAACATTTACTCACAGGCATCCAGACTTGGTTTTATAAATGATGGCAACTAAACTGTTTTTGGTCAACCTTTGAAAAATAATTACAACCTCATCTTGTATGATCTGGTAGTGCTTAGAGTATGTGTTGTGAACAACTCTCAGCTACTACCACACCAAATCTTTGCCTTATAWCTGTACAACTGACTGAGTTGTAGCCATTGTAGTGGAGGCTACTCTCCATTAGCTGCAACAACCATTTTGAATTGACTTGACTCTAAAAGATAATCAGTTGCGGAGGCACAACCAGTGGTTATTCTCTGAAAGTTTCATCAAAATCTACCATATGTAGTGATTCACAAAATATTTCACTAACAGACAAACTGAGTTGACTTCAGGTCAAATTTGAAACAAAAATCTTGGGTATCTATTAGCACTTGGTAAATGTGTTAGAGATCAGTCTCAGCTACTACCTTGTCCAGTTTTAGCTCAACATCTGTAAAGTGGACATAATAACGAGCGTTTTTGTGTTTTTAAGATTAGCTGTCTGTGGCAGCCATTTTGAATCAGGTTGACCCCAGAAGCTAATCGTTCATTGATGCACATCCAAAGCTTATATTTTGTTWGCTTTTTTAAAATAGGTTTGTTGATTCATGAGATACTTTGGTAGCAGACAGACATAGAAACACCTTCTGATGGTGGGCCACAGTAGACCACCCTGGGTCTGGCTTTTCTCATGTCAGAGTGGGAYTCCTGATCCAGTGAACCAGAGGGTGTTTAGGATTTGCATATCAGCAAGACGGGCTCCTTGGTTCAAGAAAAGCTTGCATGCTGCATTTCTTCTGCAGGTTCTCCTCTAATGACTCACATCCTGTCTTCATTTGCTGATTGACATCATCTGAAAAGTAAATGAAAAGAAAAAAAAAAAGAAACTGAGGAGAGAACCATTCTGTGCAGAAGGTGTCTTCATGCTGCAGGATGTCCTCTGACACAGGAAGCCTTATTTTAGGGACGGGCTCGGTGGTGGAGGGGCGGGGTCACTGGGGTTGTCCCAGAAACGGGTCAAAAACCCCACAACACTTCTCCTCTGTCCAACCTGTTGGCACGTCTCTGTGAGCACAGGCCGGGGAGCTCATGTTCAGATAACCTCACTGACCCGACGTCTGCAGGCGAAAACATTCACTCGTTCTTCCTCCTCTCTCTCTCTCTCTCTYTCTCTCTCTTTCCTCGTCGTYGTTACCACAAACTCTTTGACCTCTCTGCTCCATCTGTGTTGTGCTGAACCTCTGTCTTTGTTCTCGCTCAGCCCGCTGGATTCTCTTCATATGGGAAAGTCTGAGGTCGAACTTGTGGCTCAGCTTTTTTCTCATGAAGTCAGGCTTTATCTCCTGCTGCTGCCRAAGGCCAAAAGGCCACAATGGTATTTTAGTATTTGTGTTTGTTTGTTTGTCTGTTAGTGAAATATCTCATGAACCACTGGACTAATTTTTATGAAACTCTCTGAAAGTACAACTCCTTTTGGAAYCACCCCAAATTCAMCATGGCTGCCACAGCTAATCAATTTCAATAAACGTAAAAACAAGTAATTTCTACAGAAATTGGGCTAAAATTTGGTGTGGTAGTAGCTGAGTCTCATCCCCAAATTATCTTCCATTAGCTAAGTGAGTGAGCAAATTTTGTTTTTGAAACTTTGCTAATACTGTAACAGGTAGTCGACTCTCTGTTAGCAAAATATCTCATGACCATGAATGACAGTGCTGATTTTAAACAAACTAATACTGTAACTCAGTCAAATTATACAGCTATAGAGCTAAAATGTGGTTAGAAAGTTATCCTCAACACATACCACAAGCGCCAACATATGCAAGATCAAGCAATGTTGTATAAGTTCATGGCTCAGTGGTGGGTGCAGCTAATCAAAAAGTAAGCTCATAATTTGCTAAATAAAAATTTAACTTTGCTAATGCTGAACCGGTAAACGTGGAAAAAACAAATCGCTGAAACGAATGTCACTCACTCATCACACATCTCCATCTGACTTGACTGGTGGTTCTGACACAAACCAGTTGAGTTTGTTAGCTGGCTGTTAGCACACATAATTTAGTGGAAGCTAAATGGTCCACTAACAATTTTCAAAGGGAGTGAAAAAGCTAATCTGCTATGTGAAAAATCAGTTCCACTATTAGCTGTCCACCACTGCATGACATCATTTACCACTTTTAACCAAAACAACTATAACTCTGTTTATTTTCATCATATTTTAATTTAAAATGCTGACATAAAAGGTGGCAGGCCATATGCATTCTTGATTTTTTTCTAGTTTTGTTTACTGTTTTCTACAAGTTCAGTATCCAGATATGACATCATTTCAGCCATCTAAATGAAAAATAACATGTCTCATCTTTACCTTTGACCAACACTCACAGACAGTCAGTCTTCTGTCTGAAATGCAAGTTGTTTTTCTGTGTCCCTGTTGAATCCTGTGGTTGAGGACATCTGGCCTCACTAACTGCAGGGAGCTGTTTTCTTGCTCACATGGGTGCTCAGGGGGGAAAGTCCCTGCTGGTTTATGTTGCACGTTAATCTGTCATTGCACCGAAAAGATTTTACATTATAGAACCGCTTTTTGTGTGAGAGGCTGAGCAGATTGTCTTCTTGTCCTTTGGACCGGTGTCGTTTGTCTTTCTGACAGAGTTACCGCAGGAGGCGCCCCTGTCTCGTCTTTAAGATCTGTAACATAGCATTAAAGCAAGTGAGCAGGAATAAATGTGACCACATGCAGAAAAGGGACCAGGTTGGTCAAAACCAATGCAACCTGAATTTATGCTTTAGTTGTCAAAGTTTGACGCATGCTAGATGTAATCTGAGTGGACGTACCCAGCAGCTGTTATAAATACACTTTGTTTAGGTCTATTTATGTTTAGTGTGGAGCAGAAGTCGAAATGACACTGTTGCTGCTGGAGCAAATAAAACTAGGTGGAAATTACAGAAAATATAATTAGTGGATGTAAAATGACTGTCTAGACCAGTTTTCCAGGATCCTTTTTCCCAGTTTTCATATTTAAGATGTAAAAGAAAAGGAAAAAAATGTACATTTACAGTATATAACTCATAGTGAATCAACTAATAACCCCAGTTTTCCAACTAACTAGTTTAAACTTTTGTGTTACTGTCAGATAAAAAGCTTTAAGTGCTTCTCTTCTTCCTCCACCCAGAACTCCATCAGACACAACCTGTCGCTGCACAGCCGCTTCATGCGAATCCAGAATGAGGGGACGGGCAAAAGCTCCTGGTGGATGCTGAACCCAGACGGAGCAAAGAGCGGGAAGTCTCCTCGCCGCAGAGCAGCCTCCATGGACAACAACAACAAGTTTGTGAAGAGCAGAGGGAGGGCCTCCAAGAAAAAGGTACCATGAGTTTCCCTTTACATGAGGCCTTCATCTTCTCTCATTGTTTCATCTAAAACCTCTAATCTAATTACTATACTTTGTGCCATTTTATCCATTCATTTATTAAAATGTTCTTCTCATTCAGGTATGGTTGCTGTGTAACTTTGTAACTTTTATGTTTTAATATACAGTATTTATGGTAACTTCATTTGCAAGAACTTTTTCCATCAAATCCTTAAAAACAATTGTTCTTTTTGAAATCTGCTGCAGCATGCAGTCTCTGTTTGGTCTTCTTTAGCTCCATTTAGCTTTCAGCTACTGTTTGACTTCTTTTTGTTTCTAGTTGATCTTTTGATACTTTTATCTTTAAACTAAACTTCTGTTGTTTCTGTCTAATAGATAGTTTTTTGTTACTTTTTGTTAATCTTTTGCTTCTTTAGTATTTAGCTATTTAGCTAGTCTTGGCTTTTAGTTACCCTTTTGCTACTTTTAGGTAGTCTTTTGCTAAATTTAGCTTTTAGCTACAATTTTGTTAATGTCAAATTTTAGTTAGCATTTTATTGCATTTGGCTTTGAACTAGACTTTTGCTACTTTTAGCTTTTAGCTTGCCTTTGGCTAGTTTAAGCTAGCCTATTTGCTTATTTTTAGCTAACCCTTTGTTACTTTATTTATGCTTAGCTATGTTTTGTGCTTTTAGCTTTTAGTTACTGTTTTGTCACATTTGCTTTTAACTTTTTATCTTAGTTTTATCTTCATCAGCTCACATTATTTGCACATTTTTGTAGAAAATATAATTTTTCTCATTTTTAATGCTTTATAATTTTAATTGTTTTGAACCTTGATTTATTTTGAACCTCGTTTTAAACTACTTGTTAGTTTGGTACCGTTGTGTCAGAGGTTTTTATGTTTTTCTTTCTGCTCTCAGATGTCTTTACAAGAAGAAGCTGAAGGTGGAGAGGCGAGTCCCAGGTCCCAGTACTGGCTGGGGAGTCCAAACTCCCACAGCAACGAGGACTTTGAAGCCTGGAGTTCCTTCAGAACCCGCACCAGCTCCGACGCCAGCACCCTGAGTGGACGGCACTCTCCGTTCCCCTCAGAGCAGGAAGATCTTGTGGAGTCTGATGGACTCATGTTGTACCCTGGACCCTCGGGGACCAAGAAAACCTCCGCCCTGCCCAGACTCTCAGAGGTGACTGGATCCATGGGTCCATGTGTGTCAGAACACGTGATGGAGAGTCTGCTGGATAACCTGGACCTGCTGCCTCCTAAAGCCCCCCAGCTGGGCTCGGACCCCTCACAGTCCTCTAATGCTGCCGTGCTTCAGAGCAGCTCCTATGGCTCTACAGGTTTGACCCAGGACTACCAAAAGTGTTCGTTTGGCCAGGTGAGGCTGGCCCTACCAGAGACCAAAACTGGGTTCAGAGTTTATGAGAACCAGTACATCTCTCCTGCAGGGCTCCTTCAAGAACTGCTGACCACCGACGCAGACCCCGGCAGAAACTTAATGTCGTCTAGTGACACACGGGGGACAGATGTTGGGAGGACAAACTGCCTAATGTCCACCTACAGCAGTCAGAGCCACGTGGGGGGTCATAAAATGATCAGCCCCCCTCAAAGCCATCCAGGTCTTCATGTAAATCCACAATCTATGCACAGCCAGGGCCCTGCTCCCTCTCAAGACCTAAATATCTGTAACATGATACCTCTAACTAGTCTAACTAGTCTTTCAGGGGCCCCTCAACGAGTGACCAGACCGCAGCCGGCCCGCGGACACCCAGCACACGCTAACGGTTTCCCAGCTAGCTTCAGCTACAGGGAACTGAACTCACTCTACACTCATCATCATCATCATCATCATCATCATCAGGAGCGGCTACCCAGTGACCTGGACAACATGTCCATCGAGAGGTTGGACTGTGACATGGACTCTGTCCTCCATGACACCCTCATGGACGGCGGAGGGCTGGACTTTAACTTTGAGCCCACAGCCGGATCTCACGGGTTTCCTCAGAGGGTGAAGACGACCACACACAACTGGGTGTCGGGTTAAAACAACTGAAACCTCAACACAGGGTGTAAACATTGGATTATTTGGTATTAGAAATATAATTTACATCCTGTTATGGAAACCACAAGCAGCTTGAGAAAATTAGAAACCTGCAGTTTGCATTTGCTTTGTCTGAATTATGACAAAGAGCTCAACAAAACGTAGGCTAGAAATAAAACTTATAGTACTGAGCTGTGATTGGTGCAACAGAGTTCTGCTGGATGCTGATTGGCTGTGAAAATATGACATCATCACTAAAAAGCAGCCTCTGGCTCAGATTTAAGCTTCACACAGTGAGCTGCAGCTCTGGCAGACGTGCTTGTAGTTAGAACTCATAATTTTGCAGAAATCGTAAACACTGTACAGGAAGGAACTTTTTTTTCTTATGCTTTTTCTTGAGTTTTCAAGTGAAATTATTAAAAACAATATGATTTACAAATGTTTTAACAAACCTTACTGTAAATCTGTGTCCATATACAGTCCAGKGAAGTGCATGATGCCCACGTCCAGCTGGAGTGCATCTTTATCACCTTCTGTAGTGTGTAGCTGCTAACTGTTTTGCTCTCACGTTTTTTTATTTAATTTTTTTTTTTTTTTTGGTTATCACAGCCACCCAAATACACTGTAGGTCTTTTCTGGTCCAGTCTTTTTTCATGATTCACAGGAACTCTAAGAACGTAACCCCTGTGAAAACTGGGGCTTTACTGAATTTCTTGACGAAAAGCTCATCGYCTTTCCTGCCCGTGTTTTTAGCTGATATACTATTTTGACAAGTCATGTGGAGTTTTTAGCCATTTTTGTCAAACATTTTAATGTTTTTTTGTGCAACTTTGCCAAATGTATCGGTGCTCAGAGGCTGGGTTATGGCTGACTCTCAGCTACTACCACATCAAGCTGAATATATGTAAATATTTCACATAAGGCCAACGAGTTCTCACTGAAAGTGCCCTTTAAATCTGCTCAGATTGTTCATTTTAACAAACAAAAACATAGAAATAAGCTCCTGTTACATTTAGTTTTAGTTCTGAATGAGATGTGTTTAATGAACAGAAGATGAAGTATTTTTTGTAAATAATAATAAGAAACATTTCTCTAAAAGAATCCTAGATTGATTAGATTTAATCCTGTTTATTTACAGTATGAAGGTTTAATTTTCCCTTTTTAATTTCCTGTGCAGTATGAGTTGTATTGAAGTTACTGTTATTTTTCCTTTTTTGTTGTTGCGTATTGCAAATGTCAAGGAAAGTTTTCTAAATGTGTTTTTTCAGCTGATTGTGAATGTTCCTGTGTGTGTGTTAATGATTCAATGCAGTAAATAAAAGTTTGTATTTGATGTTGTTTTTTTAATGCTCATATTGGAAATTAAGCCTGTTTGATTTAAATGTGGATGTTCCATTTAATGTTTTCTTTAATAATTTCCTGTGTATGCCTCAGCCTCTGTGAATTCTACCAGCTTTTTAAAATCTGTTCATGAAAAAAGGACATTTTATAAACTCTGACGTATTGTTGAGTTTTATTGTAATTACAAGTTATAGTTTTTTTTTTTTCCTGGACGTGTACTTAGTGCCTCTTCCTGCCTATGTGATGTTTTTTTAATTTGTTTTTATGAGTTTTAAGTTGCATTACTGGTCACTGTACTGAAATATAGTTACTGTGTTAAACATGTCTGTTTACATGTTTCAGTTTAAACTACGTAATTATGTAAAAAAACAAAAACTCATACCTCAAACTATCTTACCTCTGAAGTGGTAAAGGGGTTATTTTGTCCTCTGTCTCCATTTGTAATATTTTACACATTCAAGGTTTTCACCTGGGACCACTGAAACAGACGTCTTGCACAAGATGTCATTTTTTAACATGATATAAACATAAAAAGGAATATGTGTTTATTTTATTTTTGTTTCCTGAAAGATAAAATACAGACGTTTCATCATTAGCACTTATTTTAAATGCAGTTTTTGTGTACATCATTCAGGACATAAATCTGCCTTTGCCAATAAAAGAAAGGAAAGTTGTTTCTGCTGTGTCTTTATTATGAACAGATATCAAGTTTGATGGTTTTAATGCTGCTTTTTTTTTCTTCTGAAACCTTTTATATGTGGAATTCTCCATAACTGCTCTTCATTGTTTCTTTGTGTAGATGAGATAACGCATTAGAAAATGTTGGTTTAGCATAATGTAGATGAGGCCTTAGATTAAATTAAAATAATTAATCKTTGGCCAAACTATTTTAAAGAGGGACTACTGTGCAAAATTGACTTTTTGGAGCTTTATATCATATTAATGTCATCCCCTCATCAGAAACATACCCAGAGTGTTGCTTTGACTCATTCATSCATGTTTGAGAAATCCTTTAATCTCCTGCAGCCATGTGGAGCTGCCTAAATGCTTAATGGTACAAAGCTCCGCCTATATGTACATAGCTCCTCCCTGGAGATCTGTCTGAAGATATTAAAATACTGCTGGACCACTAAGTGGCAAAAATGTCTACATAAAAACATTTTAAAATACAGAAAGAACTTTTTAAACCTGATTCAAGAATGCTTAGGATTTGTTTAATTTCATTGTATTATAATTTGATCATGTGCTGTAATATGTAATAACTGAGATACATCAATATAAATAACAATAAGTTTAACAATGACAATTATTGACATATACCTGTTTCTCAAGTCCAAACAGATCAACCAAAAACTTTTTAAAATACTGTACTTTTGGAAGCTTTTATTTATTAAAAAAAATAAACTCTTTTTTTTTACTATAAACTTTGTTCAGAAGTGGACATGAGGTGCAATTACAACACATGATTTTATCCATCCGTCCATCCATTTTCTTCTGCTTGTTCCTGGGTCGGGTCGCGGAGCAGGGAGGTATAGACCTCACTTTACTTAKCCACTTTCTCTAGATCTTCTGGGAGTAATCCAAGGTGTTTCCAGGCCAAAAGACACACAAATTATCTTTCTAAATGGGCCTGGGTCTACCTCAGGGTCTCCTGTCCATGTCTCCATGCCAGGAACGGAGGCGTTCAGGTGACCGACTCACATGTCTGGATCTCTCCGTGTGAGTCTCCTGGATATCTAGACTACACACTATCTCTGAGGGAGTGTTGAGCTGCAGAAAAACAATTCAACAGCCTGATCTTGGTTTTTCAGTCACTACCCAAAGTTCATRGCCATAGATGAAGGAACGTAGACCTTCACCCCCACCCTTTTCCAACTGAGGACCATGGACTCAGATTTGGAGGTGCTGAGCCTGAAAATGATTTGAAGTAGTGCAGACAGGATATACTGCACAACTACGAGTGTCRTCCACTTAATGACAACAAAGGTGTTTTATGCTTTTTTGGAGACTTTTATTTGTCTGTWTCATGTTTGAGTTTGTCTTTCTAAAGGCCGAGGGTGCATCTCGACCCGTGGTGTTCTGCAAAATTTTTAAAGCATCCTGAGCAGAGCAGAGCAGCTGACTCTGAGGAGCGAGGCTTGTGAGTTGGACACCTGTCCTGCAGCCCACATGCTTTCGTCCACATCCTCACAGGTCAAACATGCCAACAAGCGCTTCTCTTTTTACCAAGTTGTAAGAGTCTAAGCTCTCTGTGAGGCTATGACAGGTCATCATGACTCAGAACATCAGTCTGGATCCACAGCAGTGACCGGCTCCCCGCTTTTTATTTCATTATAGTTAATGTCACAGTTTGCAGAGGCCGGACTGAACACAAGGAGCTCGATTAAAAACATAAGATTTATTAACAAAAATAAAAAGTGGCAGCGATAAATTACCATTGAGGAGATGCAAAGGAGACCCAGTGCCAGGCCAATGAGTGAGGAGAAGCTGAGGGATTATAAGGACCGGAGCTGATGAGAAGATTGGAGACAACTGAGCTTAATGAAACAGGGAACAGGTGCGAGTGGGTGTACCAGGACCGAAGTGACTGAGGAAAAGGAGTGGAAATGGCTGGAGAACAAACTTTTAAACAGCAGAAATAAACAGAAAAATACTGGTCCTGACAGTTAATCTGTGCTAAAAGATAAACCCGTTCAGATTGGAATAATCTCCTGAACTCATCAGCATCAAATGTCCGTGTTTGGGAGTTGGTCAGCGACAAAAGCAAACCGTTGAGTCACACAACCTTTATCTTGCAGTTGACATCTCAGCATGCACTCGTAGGAAGTGTGATAAATGAAATAACCACGACATTTATGATTCATATTTTATTAAGTAACAACAAAAAACATACTGAGTTTCCAGGTAGCTCCCAGAACAGGCAGTTAAAAGGTTTTGGTTTCTCCATGATTGTTGATCCTTATCAGGGAACATTTTCATCCCTTCCTGCTGACTCACTCCATCTTCCAGGTCTTTGTGGGAGGTGTGATCCTGGTTCAAGGCTTTACTATGGCAGCCAGATGGTAAATATAGCATATTCCAGCTCCTGCAAATTAATAACCATCAGCTGCACCCAACAGACCAAAAGCTTCAGATACAAACTTCTCGTGTGTCTTTGTTGTTGATGTGTTGACTCAGGCCTGACTCACGGTGTTACACCAAAGTGAACACATAAAAAGTGACAGAAGTGGTCGAGCGAACGCTGAGAAAAAATCAGATCCTGTTTTGTTGGTCTTGCTTCCACACACCTGGTGGTATGAGTGTGTTGGCTGCAGGCCCCATATTGTGCTGCTGCTGTGAAGTCTCCTGCTGGCCGGGCCAGTCACACCGAGACCTCCACATCCTCACGCTCGTCGGCTGTGGTTTTCTTCACCGCGCAGCACTCTGCCGGCTGTTAAAGGTGACCAGAACAGTTCTGGTTTATTTGAGTGAAATAAAAGAAAACAGCTTGGAGGTCAGTGGGTTCATTGCGTACTTGTGCTTAAATTAGACACATCGACAGCAGAAAGATGATGAGATATTAAACCATGATGCTGCTTTTATTCAACAAAGCAGTGGATCAACCCTGAACGTCACAAAACTTGTAGGCACTTCAAGCTGGGACTGAGGTATGGAAACAAAGAGCTGTCACATAATATCAAATTATTGTTGAGGAAAAAACATATTTCTACAGACAAGATCTTTGATATTTGGTGATTTATTCAGGAATACAAGGCCTTTCCGGCCCATAGTTCGGCAACAATATACATATTCAGACAAGACAATCACAGCTTTACATAGATACTATTTTGCATAAAATTCATATTTGCATGATATAAATATGTTTTCCTCATTTTGAAAGCTATATGTTCCAATTAACCAAGCTTTTTCTGCATCMCAAACAGAGATTTTGCTAACAAAAGATCACTATTTTCCAATAAATCTAGTATAAAGTGTTGATGTATTTCATAACGAAGATTGCAGACAAAAATGAACCATCTTCTTTTAACATGTTACGGTTTTAAAATGTGTTTTTGAAATAAAACCATCAGAGTTTGCATAAGCTGTAAAGATAAATCTAATCAGGTAAGATAGGGAACCCCCCCTCCTTCGGACCTGAAACTTTGAGAGCCAAAATTCTGYGAGGAACCACTAGTTTAAGAAATGACAAACCTTCATCCTCGTGGCTCGGTAAGAAGATGTTCCGTTGCACAACACAGATTTGTTCCATGAAATTTATTTCAACACCCACGTCAGTCCTGCTGTGCTTCAGCTCCTGCTTWGCGCTCCTTAATTGACTCATAGAAAAAGCACCAGAGTCTCTATTAGCTTCCACAAGAAGTGGAAGATGATTGTGTTTATAACGTATATGAGGCATGATGGAGATTTACGCCTGCACTGCTTAAATAAATAAAATGAACCTTTAGTGCCGGTTTCATCCAAATGAGAGCGATGTCCTGGAGGGGGGCTGACAGCAAGCTGGGATTGGGACTAATTTATCTACATGTTCCRAGCACAAAGCTGGAGAATTAGGCGTTTTGGGCTGTTGGACATTTGTTAATATAAAGGCCAACATGCACTTGCACACCCTGGCGTCAGAGATGCGGTGCATGTTGTGATCTCTGAAGGAGACCGGGAAGAAGATTAGTCGGTGATGAGATGGAACCTGGCCACTGCCTGCTGTTCAGTCCGTTCACATGATGTTCAAACAGAACAGGGTGGAAACCATGTTGGTCGTACGGCTGCTGGGCGACAGCATCGTGGGTGGGTAAAAAATTACCCAGTTATCTGTGGGGTCCATCACAAGTTGGTTGGCTCTAAAAGTTTATCATAGGGGGTACAACTAATGATTTATTTCTAAGAGTTTCATTAAAGTCCCTCCAGTTCAGAGATATTTAGACAATAGACTGGACTGAATGATTATTCTTATKATTCC